AGTATGGAAGAAGGGATGATTTTTTGTGAAGAAAAAGTGTGCTATTTATAGGTGTTTTTCAACACCTTTGGCCGGGTACCCGACCGGGTCAAGTACTTACCCGACCGGGTCCGGTCAAAATCAGATAATTCGCCACGTTCTGGTGATCTTCGCACGTCGTTTTGTCCCGGGTCACATCTGACCCGACCGGGTCAAGTAGGGGACCCGACCGGGTCCAGTGACTTTCTTGGCAATCTCGTCTGTTAAATCATACCCGACCGGGTGGGGGTTTCTACCCGGTCGGGTTTCACTCCTAGGCAGTCAAATTTCTTGTTTTCTTCTCTTCAAAGTCTTCCTTTCCAACACCACAAATCCTAACTATACTTTACAACTTATAAATGAGAATTAAAATACGATTACAACTAAAATCACACAAATGTTTACAAACTAAATAAAACGGTAAACAATACACACAAATCAATCATAAAAATATACATTTATGCACTACTAATTGGTGCATATCAACATCCGACCCCCTCTTACCCCACCGTAGGTGGGAGCCTTTGCGGCACTGGGTAAATGAAAATGAAAATGGATGTTTTCGTTGCACCAATTGCGTTTTACCAGGGCTACAAAAATGAAGTTGTTATTATGAAATGGAAGGAAATAAGTAGAAGATCTGGGATAGAAAATATAGTAGAGATATTTACCCTCTTTATGACTAAAAGAAGATGTGTTTCCCAATTTATGGCTCTCAACTGTTTGTTTCTTATTATGATACTTAATACGTGATGGTCATTCCCATTTTTCAATTCTAATAAGCAAAGTAATTAATTCATTCTAATGAAACGGAAGTGACTTCCACGACCATTGAGGCAGTTAAGTCATACAATGGTCATAAAACATGTTTAGTAATATGAGAATTGATATGAGTTTTAGTAATATATAGGTCAATTTCCCAATATAGTATGAAGACTTATGTTATCGAGAGTATTAAAGAGTGTGATAATAGTGTAATCAAAGTGTATTTACAATGACGCAAAGAGCCTCTATTTATAGGCTAAACAAGTGATTAGCTCAAGATGATGGATTAATATTAGCCACATAATCATTATCTAGAAATCATAATTTTGATTTCTAGATTATCTTGATAATGATAATAATGACTTATTAATCATGAATAGTTAGGAGATGACTAATTCATTATATTTCAACACTCCCCCTTGAATGATCATCTTCCAATTATTCATGGGTATTAGTTTCATAGTATTATAATGTACTGTCTCGTTAAAAACCTTTGTCAGGAAAAACCCAGTGGGATAAAAACTCGACGAAGGGAAAAAGAATGCAGTGCATTATATTACTCCCCCTCAATTTAACATATATCTCGAAGACGACACATTCCAATTTTGTGGACCAGTTCTTCAAATTTCTTCGGTGCCAATGACTTTGTGAATAAATCAGCAGGGTTGTCGCAGGACTTGATTTGTTTGACATCAACTGTTCCTTCTTTCTCAAGATCATGTGTGGAGAAAAGTTTTGGTGCTATATGCTTTGTTCTATCCCCTTTGATGTAACCTCCTTTGATCTGAACTATACATGTTGTGTTATCTTCATAAATCACAGTAGGATTACAAGTAAAAGATTTTATACCGCATTCATTTTGTATGTGCTGGATCATTGATCTCAACCAGACACATTCTTGACCTGCTTCATAAAGAGCAATTAATTCTGCATGATTTGATGATGTGGCAGTTAATGTTTGCTTCATCGATCTCCATGAGATAGCGGTATCACCATAGGTGAATACATATCCTGTTTGTGATTTTGCCTTTTGTGGATCAGACAAGTATCCCGCATCGGCATAGCCAATTAAAGTGGCATTTGCACCATTCTTGAAATACAATCCAAGATCGATTGTACCATTGAGATAGCGGAATATATGTTTGACGCCATTCCAATGTCTTCTTGTCGGAGAAGAACTGTACCTGGCTAATAAATTTACAGAAAAAGCAATATCTGGTCGTATATTATTAGCCAAATACATTAACGCTCCAATAGCACTCAAATATGGTATTTCGGGACCAAGGATTTCTTCATCATCTTCACAAGGTCGAAAAGGATCATCATGCACATTGAGAGATCGAACCACCATCGGGGAATTGAGTGGGTGAGCTTTTTCCACGTAAAACCACTTCAAAAGTTTCTCGGTATAATTTGATTGGTGGATAAAAATACCATTTCTCAAATGTTCAATTTGAATGCCGAGACAAAATTTTGTTCTCCCAAGGTCTTTCATTTCAAATTCTTTCATGAGATATTTAGCTGAATTTTCAATTTCATTGGGAGTTCCGATTATATTCAAATCATCAACATATACTACAATTATGGTGAATCTTGATTCAGATCGCTGAATGAAAACACATGGACTGATAGGATCATTTTTGTATCCTTCTTTGATCAAATATTCACTTAGACGGTTATACCACATGCGTCCAGATTGTTTTAATCCATATAATGACTTTTGTAATTTTATGGAAAATAAATCTCGAGATTTCGAGCTATAAGCATCAGGTATTTTAAAGCCTCCAGGAATTCTCATATATATGTCTGTATCAAGTGAACCATATAAATATGTGGTCACTACATCCATTAGCCGCATTTGCAGCCTTTCAAAAACAGACATGCCAATTAAAAATCGTAAAGTAGTAGCATCAACTACTGGAGAATACGTCTCATCATAATCGATTCCTGGCATTTGAGAAAAACCTTGGGCAACAAGTCAGGCTTTATATCTAACGATTTCATTCTTCTCATTGCGTTTACGCACAAACACCCATTTAAAACCTACAGGTTTTACGCCTTTTGGCGTGTGGACAATTGGTCCAAAAACATTACGCTTTTCTAGCGATTTTAGTTCTACCTGAATCGCTTCTTCCATTTTGGCCAATCATTTCTACGACGACATTCGTCAATAGATTTAGGCTCATTGTCACCGTGTTTATTCATTATATCTGTGGCGATGGCATATGAAAATATATCGTTAACATCAATATCTTTTCTATTCCATTGCATTCCATTAGAAACGTAATTGATTGAAATTTCAAAATTATCAATGTTTCTATCTTTATCTGGAATATTTACCTCTTCAAAGGTGATTGGATCCTCTTTTGAGGTATCCTTATTATTGATGTTATCTTCAATGCCGATATTATCATAATGTTCATTTTCTTCTTGAGAAGGTTGAACTTCTTTGGCATCACAAACTACATCTTGCTTTTTAAATTTTCTTGGTTTCAAATCTCTTGAACCAAGTGGTCTACCACGTTTTTTACGTATCATAGATTCATTAGCAAGAGTTCTTTCGCTAATCTCCACAGGAATTTCTATTCGAGAAGGAGTATTCATAACTGGAATATGTGACTTTGTCACTTTCTTTGAGTCTATGAAAGCATCAGGCAATTGGTTTGCAACACTTTGTAAATGAATGATCTTTTGAATTTCTTGTTCACAAGCATTTGTGCGAGAATCAAGAAAAGATAAATCTGTTGCATTCCAAGTAATATCTTTCGTACGTGGGTCCATTTCTTTATTATCTCCCCCTAAGGCTAGGAATACCGTTTCATCAAAATGACAGTCATCGAACCGTGCGGTGAATAAGTCACCAGTCATAGGTTCTAGATAATTAATAATTGAGGGAGATTTAAAACCAACATAAATTCTCAGCCTTCTTTGAGAACCCATTTTAGTACGTTAAGGTGGAGCAATTGGTACATACACAGAACAACCAAATATTTTTATGTGTGATATATTTGGTTCTTTATTAGATATTAATTGCAATGGGGAAAATTTATGATATGCAGTTGGCCTGAGCCTAATTAAATTTGCAGCATGCATTATAGCATATCCCCATGCAGATGATGGTAATCTGGATTTCATCAATAATGGTCTAGCAATTAATTGTAATCGCTTAATTAAGGATTCAACAAGATCATTTTGTGTATGCACATGTGTAACTGGATGTTCCACATCAATCCCAATTGACATGCAATAGTCATTAAAAGATTGGGATGTAAATTCCCCTGCATTATCAAGTCGGATTTTCTTTATTGAAAAATCCGGAAATTGTGATCTCAAACGAATAATTTGAGCAAGGAGATTTGCAAATGCAAAATTTCTAGTCGATAAAAGACTGACGTGTGACCAACGTGTTGATGCATCAATGAGCACCATAAAGTATCGAAAGGGTCCACACGGAGGGGCAACTGGTCCACAAATATCTCCTTGAATTCTTTCTAAAAATGCAGGAGATTCAACTCCAATTTTGTATAAAGATGGCCTGATAATTAATTTGCCAAGAGAACAGGCAGTGCATGAGAAATCACTTGATTGTGGAATTTTGACATTATTTAATGAATGTCCAAGTGAATTTTGAATAATTTTGTGCATCATAGTGCTGCCTGAATGACCTAAACGGTCATGCCACAAGATAAAGGAACTGTGGTCATTAATTTTAGATACCACATTTATCTTAATTGGACTGATATATGTATAATATAGTCCAGAGGAATATGCTGGCATTTTTTCTGAAATGTATTTATTGCCAGATCTATTTGTCGTTAGACATAAATATTCCTTTTGATTTTCAGACATGGTTTCAATGTGAAAACCATTTAGACGCATATCTTTGAAACTCAAAAGATTTCTCCGTGATTTACTGGAGTATAAAGCGTCTTTAATTATTAATTTTGTCCCTTTTGGGAGAATTACACAGGCAATTCCAGAACCTTCAATGAGTTTAGCAACACCTGAGATTGTATTGACATTAGCATCAACTAATGTCATATGAGAAAAATAATCTCTATGTCTCAAAATGGTGTGCGTTGTGGCACTGTCTATTAAACATTCGTTCAAAGCCATTTGGAGAAATATCAGTTAACTCCATATCTTTAAAAAGATAAAAATGAACAAATATTAGTTCAATATTGCAATATAAACAAGAATTTATTCATTAAAATGTACATAACTTTTACAACCAAAACAAGCACACCAAATAAAAATTACAATACAACAAACTTTTATTGTAGAATATATTACATAACAAAATAATTTCATTTTTATTATTATTATTTTTCACCCATGACGATGTCAGTGTTCATCTCATTATTATCCATATAGAAATCAGACATGTTAAATGTGGGCATTGGTGGAACGTTTTCGTTGACGTAATTAGTTTCCACATTCTTTCCTTTTAGAGATGATTTATATAAGTCAACCAAATGTGTAGGTGTGCGACACTTATTTGCCCAATGTCCCGACGTGCCACATTTAAAACAAGTGACTTTAGCCTTTTCTGAAGATTTCGTCGGGCCTCTTGTTTGATGGGGATTTTGCTTTCCCTTGTCTTTGTAAGAGCTACTACTCTGTTTGTTTCCCCGGCTAGGTCCATTATAACGACCAATACCACGACCACGTTTGAAATGTCCACGAGCACCACTATGGGTTGCATTTGATTCATGTTTTGAACCATGATTTTGTGGACCAAAACTAAAAGGGCTACAACCCGTGGGTCTCATATTGTGGTTTCTCATCAAAATGTCATTATTCGTCTCAGCAAGTAGTAATAATGATATTAAATCAGAATACTTTTGAAAGTGCTTTTGTCTATATTGCTCTTGTAAAAGCATATTTGAAAGATGCATAGTGGATAGAGTTTGAACCATGATTTTGTGGACCAAAACTAAAAGGGCTACAACCCGTGGGTCTCATATTGTGGTTTCTCATCAAAATGTCATTATTCGTCTCAGCAAGTAGTAATAATGATATTAAATCAGAATACTTTTGAAAGTGCTTTTGTCTATATTGCTCTTGTAAAAGCATATTTGAAAGATGCATAGTGGATAGAGTTTTTTCCAACATTTCGGCATCAATGACTTTTTGTCCGCATACCTTCAATTTTGATGTTATTTGGAACAAGGCAGAATTGTAGTCACTTATAGATTTGTAATCCTGGAATCGTAAATTGATCCAGTCATATTGAGCTTTTGGTAAAAGGACCTTTTGTTGATGGCCATACCTTTCTTGGAGATTATCCCACAATTCTTTAGGGTCATCCACCAATAAATACTCAGACTTCAAACTTTCGTGAAGATGGTGACGAAGAAAGATAATGGCTTTTGCCTTGTTTTGGGGAGTAGCTGAATTATTTTCAGCAATTGTGTTTTCGAGGGCATTTGCTTTTAAATGTGCCAAAACGTCAAGTTTCCATTCCAAGTACTTTTGACCAGATAAATCGAGGACGTCGAACTCTCTTTTGCTAATATTAGCCATGGATGAACTACACCATAATTAAATCAAAATTAATTAGTTAATGGTTTGTATAGATCATACGATTAGATATACATAATGTTTATGTAATAAATACTATATTAATAACTACTACGTATGATAACAATAATTATATACATCACTTTTATTACGTAGTTGGTATGAATAGATGTAGTAATCTATACTCAGTATTAAATCTCTTTCATTAATAACTACTAATATAGGTATGTACGTATATTAGTATATATCTGTACTGAAGTAGTGAAAAATGTCACATGTATTTCTTATTATAATAATCCAGCACATATTAATTACTTTGTAAAATTCTTGGGCAGTTAAACAAAAAAAAATAATTGCTGCTAATGATTTAGTGATAATATTTACTCCGTATGAAATACTACCAATTTAGTTATAAATAGTACCAAATACTACGTATTAGATAATGTTTACAAACATTATTGTTTATAAAATGTTTGCTTAAGAGCCTCACGGAAATTAAACATTATTCTCTTTTAATTAATATTTAATATTATAATAATAAAATAAACTCACTCACTAAGTATGTAGTGGCATGAGTGAGGTATGTATGGGTTTTTTTTATGTATGGACATATACACCGTATGTAGTAAATTTATATTATTATTGATTTGAATTGATGTGTCAGAATTATCTTGATAGTATTATTGAAGATAAAAAAATGCATTGTCAAAAACAAAATATGACCACTGCACAATAAGGCATGCATTAAGACAAAAAAAACAAGTGATAATGTCTAGGAGAGATCATTCATCTGCCCGTGAGTGTGACATGTCTTTACTTCATACATCAATTATATATGAAGTAGCTGGTATGCAATTTAAATATATGTCCTTTCTCTTATTCTATGTTACTATAGTTCTTTAGTTTATTGATAGAGATAATATCCGCATGAAGATAACTATGTTCGGTCTCCAATTCACTTTATTTGGAAGAAAAACAAGAACGAGTGAGATATATTGTCTACAATATGGAGTAGTTCATTTCAAGAGCAGATTCGATTCCTATAAAGGTTTGTTTTTCTTCTTTGATTTTTTTTACTTAAAATATAGCTATAATTTTCTGATATGGAGGATCCCAATGGTTGGGCAACCATAGAGCATACTTCTTATAGTTTTGAATATATCTATACATGTTTATACTTCTCAACCTCTGATTTTTTTTTCAGATGAATTGATAAATTCATGGAAATATATACCTGTTGGGAAGATGATGATTTCAGGGATTTGGAGCAAATTCGTGCTGATAACGTATTATGAAATGGAAGGAAATAAGTAGAAGATCAGGGAGAGAAAATATAGTATGAAGACTTATGTTATTGAGAGTATTAGAGAGTGTGATAATAGTGTAATCAAAGTGTATTTACAATGAAGCAAAGAACCTCTATTTATAGGCTAAACAAGTGATTAGCTCAAGATGAGAGATTAATATTAGCCACATAATCATTATCTAGAAATCATAATTGTGATTTCTAGATTATCTTGATAATGATAATAATGACTTATTAATCATGAATAGTTAGGAGATGACTAATTCATTATATTTCAACAGTTGTGAACTTGTGATAGTTAAAACGTGATTCATTATATTTAATCAACGTGATTTAACGGGAAAATTTTACGGTTTTTTTAAAAGGGAAAAACGGTACGTGATTGATAATTTTCTAGAAGATTGGAATGTCCATTATGATCCATGTTTATCAACATATATTTAGCATTAGGGGGTGTTTGGAACTAATTCTGATTCTGCTTCTTTTTTAAAGTAGAAGCAGAATCAGAATCAGTTTTCAGAAGCTGGTCAGCCCTCAGCTTCTAAAAAAACTGATTCTAGGAGTAAATTAGAGCACCAGAATCACTTCTGCACTTTTACCCAAACACTCCAACTTCTGCTTCTGCTCCCTAAAGGAGCAGAAGCAGTTTTAAGAATCAAATCCAAACACCCCCTTAAACCTTTACTTGGAGATATTTATTCTAATAAATGATGACACGAAAGAAAGTTGAATTTGTTGGACTCTTTATCTTTTGAAAAAAAGAAATGAACAAAGAAATTACTCCATTAAGAAAGTAGTATACTTTATGTTTCTCTTACAAATTACAAATTCCACCCGTATATACTCCCTCCCTTCCTAATATATCTTTCAACTTTCCTTTTTCATTCGTTCCAACTAAACTTCCATTTTCCCTTTTTGGTAAAGAATTTATGGTTCACAACATTTCTTACATATTTCTCTCTCCTCTGCACAACTCTCCATCACACATACCCACTTTTCTTAATTTGTGTGTCAAAGTGAAATGGAAGATATAATAGGAACAAAGAGAGTAGTACTTAGTACTTAAAATAATCCGTTTTCCTATATATAGGATTTTTTTTTGAAGACATGTTTGTGGACAAATCATTTGATGATAAACCTGACTTCACCCATTTTCATTTGATGATATACCTGACTTCACTTTGTTTGAAGACTGCATGCTATTTAGGAGTAATTTTGATAGCATGCAATCTAATGCTTTTTAATTCCTTTGTACATTTCATTAGCCTAAATAGTATCTACTCTAATTATGATTTTTTATTGAATGAAAATAATTAATTAATTATTCCAGAGTGTGGGTAGCTAACTGAATGATAGAATATTGTGTATGTAGCGATAATTTCGATCAATTATTTACATGTACCTTTCTCGTGACACATTAAATATTTAATGAACTATACAAAACTACATATGTATTTTTTTATACATAAGAGAGGAGCAATGTATACATTCAGTGGCGGAGCCAAAAAAACGATTCAAGGGGATCGAAACTCAACCTATATACAGAATGAAAACGGTGGATCGTTTTTAAACAATGTCTGAGTTGAATATTTTATATGCTGTTTAGATAAATAAGCGCTCATAACAATAAGATAAATTGTCTTTGCTCTTTTTTTGAGTCGTGTCACGTAAGTATTGAGTGAATTATACCTTATATTTAAAATTTGGAAAAATAATCTATATTTTGCGTCAAATTTTGTTGATTCTAGGTTTAGATAGTGCTGATTTTCCAGAAGTCATAACTTTTTACTCGTAATGAGTTACAAGGGCCATAATATATCAAATCGAAGATATTTCAGAGCTTTATACTCTCAAACTTTCAGCGGGATCGGCTGACCACCCTGACCCCTGGCTCCGCCCCGGTATACATTTGATTGTATGTGTGTATCACTTATATATGTATCATAAATGTGGCTGTTTTATCATATAGGTAAAACCCGATTCAAGAATGTGCTTTGTGATGCATTTGATTACTTATCCTTTCAATGAATTAAAAGCAAGTATTGAAGATAAGAAAATACAATATTCGATTGAGTCTAATAGGAAGAATGTGTCTATTGCTCTCTAATTCTTAATGTTACACACTAGCTTAAGTACTTTAGGTTTTAGGAAAAAATGATTCCCTACATACTAGTTTTAGGAATTTTTTATGGTGCTTACTCATTTTGCGGAAATAATATTGTGGAATCATTATATCATGCACATAGTATACCTGTCGTAATACACTACAAAAAAACAGGTTTTCTAGCGTCGGTTTTGTAAACCGACACTAAATACAGTAATGGCAACGGTTTATGCAAACGTTGATCAGCACTATTTTATTCAACAACGGAAAGCATTTAACTACGGTTTCTTAAAATCCCTGCGTCGGGTAAAACCGACATAGGTACTAAAAAAATTCCGTGAAGATTTGCGCGCTCATTTTGGTAGGGTTGGCATCACTTAAAACAACCTCCAGTTTGACCGATGCTAAAATGTATTTAAAAAAAAAACTTGATTCCAAAAATTCACATATGCAATGCAACAAAAATAACGTACACGATGCAACAAAATGAAACAAAAAATAACATGTACTCCCTCCGGTTCTGAAAGATCTTTACACTTTGATTTCACAAATATTAAGGAGTTTGACACTGTTTGGCACTGTTTGGCACTGTTTGGTGTAGATTTGTAAGGTAAATAAGAAGTGTAAAGATAATTGTGGTGTTTCCAAAAATGGAAAGTGTTAGATTCAAAACCGAAGGGAGTAAAAGCATTAGAATAAATACATAGAAAATAGAAGAAAAGAAAAGCAAGGAAAGCAGCGAAGAGTAGAGCCAGCTTTTCATTGCAGAATTTATAAGAACGTCATTCAAACTTTCAGTTCTATTCTCTGCCAAAAGAAATAAGTGGATGTAAAGAACCTCATATATTACACAACAATAAGCAAACGTTTATACTCAGTATAAGATAATTATGTAATGCCCCAAAGTACCATGTCATCTTATATGGTATGAATGAGAAATTTAAATCCTTTTGTTTTTCTTTTTAAGAACTTAGCGAGCAACGGTACACTCTAGATACTAGGGAGTAACATTTAGCAAAATGAGTGTGAAATGGCATCCATCATTAAGGTGCAATCCATTAATCATTTCCTTGTTTATAGCTTGGACGGTTTTGGAAAAATATCTGGAGTGAATTTTTGAGCTCCACTGATACTCCAGTTGATGCTGATAGCACCCCTGACAAAAAGCTCAGATTTTTATCAGGATGACTTATTCCACAACCACAAGTGCTCTCATAAGCATTCGTTTTCTTCAAAAAGTACCAATATCATATTTTCTGAACTACGCACTAGAAGTGTTTTTATACCGTTGAAAGCACTCGTTTTTTATAAATTTTCTTGCCAAACACTTCCTAGCTAATGAATTAAAATTACTCCGTATTTTTCGTCCTGCACAAAGTAAAAAACACTGATTACTTCAAAATGCAATGCAAACCACCAAAACTAGGCGCACCTCATAAAAGCAATTTGCAGATTCATCTTCAAACTTCCCAAATTCATCCATTTTTCACTCATAATGTTCAATTATCTATTACATCTAGCAGGAAATCAGAAACCATGTGACGTGCACTTGTCGTTAGGTGCACTCAAAATAAATACAATACAACACTAATACGTAGTATAGTGTAGTAAGGTTCGTATCCACAGGGAAATGAATACTTTTCTTTTAAATAAATAGTAACAAAAGGGGGTTTAGATTTGTTTGCTTTAAAAACACTAAGATAAACAACCTATATGAGTTTAATTCAATGAGATGAAGACTTGGTTTTGCTTTTATCCACTTAATGAAATGTTCGTCGATCCCGGTTATATCTTTAACTATCTTCCTCTCGAATACTCAATCGAGGAGTATATCCAGTTCATCGAGGGTAATTATTAATAACGAGATGCGTTCATTAATAAAACTTACTATCGAGTTAATATAGAACAAGCGCTGTATATTAACTTGATAGTAGCAATAAACTTAAGATGAAAACGATTGAGATTGATAACCTCAACACAAGCGGTTTATTGGTTTAATCAATATAATTAATTCCCCTTGGCATATTAACCATGAGATGCATGCATTAATATTCCAAGTTTACTACCGTTGAAAGAACCGGATTAATAACAAGCGTATTAACCGATCGATTCTAGTAATAATTAATATGAGACACAATACTAGTTGATACTTTAAGTAATGTTTAAGATATCAACATGAAATATGAATGAGAATCAATTAATACTCAAGGAAGAATATTAAAGAAAATGAATCCTACTATGATTAATATCAAGATGTTAACTAATTGTCATCTTAGTAACACTCCCCAATATTATCATAGAGGGAGAAATAGCTATTACTATAACCAATGTCAAGATGTTAACTAATTGTCATCTTAGTAACACTCCCCAACTTTGATATAGAGATAGTATTTTGAAAGAAAGAATTAATATTCAAGGAAGAAGATTAAAGAAAATAACTCACAACTTACAAATTCATTAAGCTTCAAAGTAGCAAAACCAAGATGGAAGAGTTTAGCTCCTCATTTGGAGACTAAACATGATGAAAAATATAAAGAAAGAGCTATTCTATACTGAGCTTAGATGTACAAAGGAATCAGATCTCCTTTTGTGAAGGAAAGGAGGTGTATTTATAGGTTTTTGGGATGGGATTCGGGTACTCGATCGGGTATATACATGGTACCCGATCGAGTACGTGTGTAACACTCGATCCGAGGCATACTCGACCGGTTTCAGGCTATTTTCTAAGAGTATACCCGATCGAGTATATATGAATACCTGGTCGAGTATGTTTAGAAAATGGTATTCGGACCATACTCGACCGATCTTCGTTTGAAATTCAAAGGCATACCCGATCGGGTATGTCGGTCTACCCGATCGGGTATAGACATAAAATCGTGGCCGAAATCTTCCCTGCATGTTCCCTTGTCTTCGGATCTGATCCGATTTGAAGTTCCAACCTAATACCCGATCGAGTATAGCTAATACTCGACCGAGTATAGACCAAAATTCAGGATCTTCTTTTGTCTTTGAACTTTTGCACCTTCTTTCCACTTTTTGGGTTCACCAACTGTACT